TTTGATGAGATACTTCACCAAAGAATATATAGAGGAAGATGTCAGAAGCATGGAGAAGTGAGGAATATCCCCAGATCTCTTCCCTTGAAATAACAAACTGAACATCTATAACTCAACAAATAACACTCAACCTGCACACAAATATGTCTGAGAGATCTGCACATCACAGCATCCAAAGTTGGGCAAATCTACCAATCAATCCCACCTCCACCCAGGCAGACTGACTTGAAAGGATTCAGGGGCACAAGGAATCTGACCCAAGAGGCTTGGAAACCACCTACTGGAAATTAAAAGAAAAATCCTTTCTTATCAACCTCCTAAAGAGAGATTACTTTACAACAAAATTTTTCTTAAAAAAAATTAAATAAAAAAAAAATAACAGTACTCCCATAAATGCCCAGGTGGAAAAATAGTCCATCAAACGAAATGAACAACCAAGAGTGACAGGAAAGCTCAGAAAGTGAAAAAATCTCCAGAAAATAAGCTCAAAGACATAGAAATATGCAATTTAAATAACAGAGAATTCAGGATTGCACTTCTGAAAAAATTCAATGAGATGCAAGAAAATTCTGACCAATTCTAGGAAATTAGAAACAAAATAAATGAACAAAATGAATATCTTACCAAGGAAATTCAAACCATAAAAAAATAACCAAATAGAACTGGAGATGAAGAACACATTAAAAGAGATGAAGAATGAAATAATAAGCTTAGGAAACAGAGCTGACCATTTGGAGGAAAGAATTAGTGATATCAAAGATGGAAATCTAGAAATGACCCAGAAGGAAGAGAGAGATTTGAGAATGAAGACTAATGAAAGAACTCTACAAGAACTATCTGACACCATCAGAAAAAGCAACATAAGAATAATGGGTATACCAGAGGAGAAGAGAGGAATAAGGGAACAGAAAGCATATTCAAATAGTTGATGAGAATTTCCCAAACCTGTGGAAAGAACTGGATCTTCAAAATCAAGAAGCAAACAGAATACCCAATTATTGCAACCCAAAAAGGTCTTCTCCAAAACACATTACATTAAAATTGTCAAAAATTAATGACGAAGAAAGAATTCTCAAGGCAGCCAGGGAAAAAAATGACAGTTACTTATAAAGGAACACCCATTAGACTATCATCGGACTTCTCAGCACAAACTTTAAAAGCAAGGAAGGAGTAGAACAAGATATTCAAACTATAAAAAGAAATTATAAGCCAAGAATAATATATCCAGCAAAGTTTTCCTTAAAATATTAAAGAGAAATAAAGACCTTTCCAGACATACAAAAGCTGAGGGAATTCTCTGCCACAAAGCCTGCATTATAGGAAATAGTGAAGAAAGTCATTCTATCTGAAATAAAAGGACAAAAAACATTAACTATGAGTAAGATGACTAACAGGCAGACAGAAGCAGGAAAGTGCAACCCTTATTATGAACAGAGTATTATAAACTTAAATATCACATAATGGTTAAAAGCTGCCCCCTCCAAAACAAAACAAAACAAAAAACCCGCTATAAAAAGAGAAGATAGCAGCTTATATATAACTACCCTATACATAAACTTAATGGGAACCACACTCCATGAATCCAGAACTGAGACACATAGCATAAAACATGATGGAACAAAGGGAAAGTCTACAAAACACTACCAAATTAAAATAATAGATAGAAACACAAGGACAAAGAAACATCGAACTACCAGGAAAAAAAAGATAAAATGGTTTTAGGAAAATCTCATATTTCAATGATCACCCTTAATGTAAATAGACTGATCACCAATAAAAAAGCACAGAGTAGTAGATTGGATCAAAACACAAAACCCAACCACAATGCTGCCTTCAAGAGACACATCTCAGCTGCAAGGGCAAATATAGATTTAAAGTGAAAGGATAGAAAACAACAATTCAGGCAAATGGCATCCAGAGAAAAGCAGGTATAACCATACTTATATCTGACAAAATAGACTTCAAGATAAAAAAGGATAAAGAGAGACAATGATGGACACTTCATAATGATAAAGGGAAACATCCAGCAAGAAGATCTAACACTTATCAATATTTATGCTCCCAACCAGAGAGCACCAAAATATATAAAACTACTAACAGAACTAAAGGGAGAGACTGACAAAAACATAATTTAGTAAGGGACCTAAATACTCCACTGTCAGCTATGGATAGATCATCCAAACAGAAAATCAATAAGGAAATATTATCCTTAAATGACACATTAGACCAACTGGACGTAATCAACATTTACACAGCCCTTTATCCCAAGACAGCAGCTTATACATTCGTCTCTAATGCACATGGAACATTCTCAAGGATAGACCATTTGTTGAGACACAAAACTAGGTTTAACAAATTTAAGAAGATTGAAATCAGATCAATCATATTTTCTGACCATAATGCTTTGAAACTGGAGATCAACTGTAAAAAGAAAGCAGAAGAGCCACAAATATATAAAGATTAAACAGCATGTTACTGAAGAATGACTGGGTCAGAGAAGTTATAAAAAGAAATCAAGAGATAGACAGACACAAATAAAAATGAAAGTACAACATATCAAAAGTGGTAATAAGAGGGAAGTTCATATTATTACAGGCCTATCTCAAGAAACAAGAATGAGCCCAACTAAACAACCTAACATTAAATCTTTAAAAACTAGGAAAAGAGGAACAAATGGAGCCCAAAGTCAGCAGAAGGAAAGGAACAATCAAAATCAGAGCAGAATTAAATGAAATTGAGAACAAAAAGACAATAGAAAAAATTAATGCAACAAAGAGCTGGTTCTTTGAGAAGATCAATAAAATTGAGAAACCCCTGGCTAGACTCACTAAAGAAAAAAAATAAAGGACACCAAAAAACAAAAGTATTGCTCTTAGTAATATTTTTTGGATCTGTCTCCTCAAGCAAGGGAAACAAACAAAAAAATAAATGAATGGGACTACATCAAACTAAAAAGTTTTTGCACAGTGAAAAATATCATCACCAAAACAAAAAGGCAGCCTACTGAAAGGTAGAAGATATTTGCCAATGGTACATCAGATAAGGGTTTATTGTTCAAAATATTTAAAGAACTCATAGAACTCAATAAGGAAACAAACAACTCAATTAAAAAATGGGAAGAGGACCTGAACAGACACTTCTCTCAAGAAGACATACAAATGGCCAACAGACTTAGGAAAAGATGTTCAACCTCACTAGCTATTAGGGAAATGCAAATCAAAACTACAATGAGATACCATCTCACACCTATTAGAATGGCTATTATCAACAGAACAAGTAATAACAAGTGTTGGGGAGGCTGTAGGCAAAAAGGAAACCTCATACACTGCTTTTGGGAATGTAAATTGGTACAATCACTATGGAAAACAGTAGGAGTTTCCTCAAAAAACTAAGAATTGAATTATCATGTGATCCAGCAATCCCTCTTTTGGCTATTTATCCAACAAAACCTGAAAATATTTAACCACAAAGATATATGCACCCTGATGTTCATAGCAGCATAATCCATGGTGGCCAGGACACAGAAGCAACCAAAGTGTCCTACGATAGCTAATTGGATAAAGAAAGTGTGGTACATAAATATAATGGAATATTACTCAGCCATAAGGAAAGATGAAATACTGCCATTTGAGACAACATGGGTGGATACTGAGATAATCATGTCAAGTGAAATAAGTTAGACAGAAAAAGCTGAAAACCATATGATTTCACTCATATATGAAATATAAAACTGAGAGTAACAAACAAATATGACAAACTAACAGAGTCTCATGGACACAGTCTGTGGATTACTGGTTACCAAAGGGTAGGGGTATGGAGGGAGGCAGATAAGGGTAAAGGGGGTCAAATATTTGGTGATGGCAGGGAATCTAATTTTGGGAGGCGAAAACACAATGCAGTATATATATACAACTTACTGTTGAATTGCACACTTGAAACTTATTTTATTTTATTGATGTCCCCCCGATGATTTTTAATATAAAAAAAAGAATATATAGGAATGATTAATAAGCAAATGAAAAGATGTTCAACATCATTACTCATTTAAGGATCTGCAAATTAAAAACACATTGAGATATCATTTCCCAACCACTAGGTGGCTATAATAAAAAAGACAGACCATACGAACAGCTGGTGAGAATGTGGAGGAACTGGAATGCTCATACTTTGCTGATAAAATATAAATGATGCAACTACTTTGAAAAAAATCTTTGGCAGCTTTTTATAAGAGTAGCATAAATTCATCATATGATCCCAGCATTTCAAATCCTAGGTGTCTACCCAAGAGAAATGAAAACCTATTTCATGCAGAGATGTGCACTCAAGTGTTATAACAGCATTATTTATAATAGCCAAAAAGTACAAATAACCCAAATGTCCATCAGCTGATGAATTGGTAAACAAAATGTGATATATCCATACAAAGAAATAATATATGACAACAAAAGTAATGAAGTATTGATACGTGCTACAACATAGGAGAACCTTGAAAACATTATGCTAAATAAAGAAACCAAAAGCAAAATTGGTAAGCCTCGTTTTGTATGAAGTTTCCAGAAAAGGTAAATTTATAGACAGAACATAGATTAGTGTTTTTCTAACACTGGAAGTAGGAATAAGGATTTACTAAATATGGTCACAAAGGATTTTTGGGGTGATGGAAATGTTCAGAACTGGATTGTGCTAATGGTTATACAACTCTGTAAATCTATTAAAAAAAATCATTGAATTGTACACACAAAAGATTGAACTTTATAGTACAAAAATTGTAACTTAATAAGTCTCTTATTCACACACACACACACACACACACACACACACACACACACACACCCCTAGTAATATTTCAGTAAAATTTCAGACTTCTAAGAATAAAGAGAGATATCTAACATTTCTAGAAGTTTAAAATAAAAAAGGGATTTCATCCAAAGGAACAGGAAAGAAATGTACATAAAGCTTCTCCTTTTTCTTACCGATATGCAATCTATGTGAAATAGTACCTTCAAAATCCCGAGTTGGACATGATTCCATAGTGTAGCGGTTAGCACGTGTGCTTTACATGCAGAAGGTCCTGGGTTCATGCCCCAGTGGAGCCACAGTCCATGGTCTATGGCCATGCCACCCTAAACAAGCCGATGTCTGATCTCTGAAGCTAAGCAGGGTCGGGCCTGGTTAGTACTTGGATGGGAGACCACATAGGGAGACCAGGTGCTGTAGGCATAAGAAAAAAAGAATCCCAAGTGAGAATAATGTTAAATATAGATATTTGTTTACAGAGAAATATTTATTTAAAGAATAAATTTTTAAAGTTTTCAGACATACAAATACTTATAACTTTTAGTACCCATAAACTTGAGAAAGAATAATGAAAAAATATATTCTAGTGGAATGCAAAATAGATACAGAATAAAAAAAGGAATACAAGAATCTATGGTGAAAAGAAAACCATGTTAACTCGAAATAAGTTCAGATGACACTAAATATATAAAATTCTGGAAAAGAATGCTAGCTCATAATTGCACAGGAAATGATGGAAGGGGCAGAGGTAAAGAATGTTGTGCTGTGATAGAGGGCAAGATGGCATAGAGTATAGAAGTTTTGTACATCTCCTCTTGTGACCACACCAGAAATGTGACAAAACACAGAACAAACAACAAGCAGAGTCACCTGGGGTCTGGATGAACAAAGGCACTACAACTAGGGAGAGAAATAAGAAATAACCCTGCAGTGGTAGGAGGTAGCGGAGATCTGAGGTTGCCCAGTCCCACGCGGCTGAGCAAGACAGAGGCTGCGGTGGCTGCAGCCAGCAGGTGCAGAAGTTTCTCCTCAAGGAGCTGTGACCACGGCTGAACTTTAGTAGTGATAGACACATTTGCTCTAAGCTCCAGCGCCAGGTTGGGGGTGGGGGTACCAGGGACATACAAGGGACACAGTTGTCAGGCTTCAGGGCAAAGGCCAGAGGTGAGGCTTTCTCCCAGGCAAAAGTGCTGGCAGCATCCATTGTTCCTCTGTTGAGCCCTTCCCACTCCCAGCGTGTGGTCATAGGCACCGCCATAGCTGAAATGTCATCAAACTGGATAACAGAGGACGTTCCACCCAGAGAATTCCCTGAAACTCTGCCCCTCCCAACTTGCAGCTCTACCCAAGCCATATCCAGTGGGGTTCTCAGCATGCCCTGTGCCCCCTGCTAAGCAGCTCCAAGTTCCACACTGGTGGCACTTGGCCTCAGTTTCTGGAGTGACTCTTGAGGCAACTATAAGAACAGCACGGGTATCAGCCATTTGGGGATTGCTTGCTAAATCTTACCAGGTGGCCCCAGAGGGGCACAGGCTGGGGCTAAACTTGGCCTGTAGCTGGACCCCTCTCAGAACTGTGCCACTGGACACCTACTATACCAAGTCATGCTAATAAGACTAGGAGACTTAGGAGCTTTACTTAGTACATAGAAACAGACACAGAAAGGCAGCCAAAATGGGAAGACAAAGAAGTATGTCTCATATGAAAAGAGCTCCAGGAAAAATGGAGTTAAGCAATCTAACATGCAGAGTTCAAAACAGTGGTTATAACGATACTCAGCAAACTTAGGGAAAGGGTAGATGAAGTCAGTGAGAACTTTAACAAAGATAAAAAACATAAAAATTGAGATGGAAATTATAAAAGGGAACCAGTCAGAAATGAAGAGTATAATATCTGAGATGAAAAGTTTATTCGGGGGAATCAACAGAGTAGAAGTGGAGGATTGCAACAAGAAAAAATAATCCAAAATAATGAAGATAATAATACAAGGAGCCTATGGGATAACATCATATTTAACAGCATTCACATTATAGGGGTACCAGAAAGAGAACAAGAGCAAAAAGTTGAAAATATTTGAAGAAATAATGATGGAAAACATCCGTAACCTGGCAAAAGAAATAAACATACAACCCCAGGAAGCTCAGAGAGTCCCAAAAAAGATGAACTCAATGAGGCCCACACTAAAACACATCATAATTAAAATGCCAAAGTTTAAATACAAAGAGAGAACCTTAAAAGCAGCAAAAGAAAAGCAGTTAGTGACCTACAAGGGAGCACCCATAAGAATGGCAGCTGATTTCTCAAAAGAAACTATGCAGGACAGAAGGCTTGACACAAAATATTCAAAGTGATGAAAATCTTTTATCACCAATAAAAGGTTACTTTATCCAGCAAAGCTATCATTTAAGGTTTAAGGACAGATAAAGAGCTTTCCAGACAAAAATAAACTAAAAGAATTCATCAACACCAAACCAGTATTTCAGGAATTGTTGGAGATACTTCTTTAAGAAGAAAAATTATGTAGCAAAAATATGAATAAAGAATGGCAAGGATTACATAGCTATCAACAAGTACTTCAAATGAAAAATAATTAAGTGCTCCAATCAATAGAGATGGTGGCTGAATGAACAAGAAAACAAGACCCTTACATACACTGCCTACAAGAGACTCACTTCAGATTAAAAGACACACACAGACTAAAAGTAAGGGGATAGGAAAAGATATTGCAAGACCTAGAGGATTTGTGCTAAATGGAATAATTCAGATAGAGAAAGACAAATTCCATATGATTTCATGTACATATAGAATCTAAAGAATAAAATAACAACAACAAAAACAGAAACAAACACATAGATACAGAGAATATTTTGAGGGTTACTAGATAGGCAGGGGGTTGGGGGTATGGTAAAAAAGGGCAAAGTGATTAAGAAGTATAAATGGGTAGTTACAAAATAGTCATGGAGATATAAAGGATAGCACAAGGAAAATAGTTAATAATATTGTAATTAATATGTAAGATGGCAGAGGGGTACAAGATTTATTGAGGTAATCGATCACTTTGTCAATTTTATAGATTTCTAATCACTATACTGTATGACTGAAACTAATATATTATTGTATACCAACTATAATTGAAAAAACTTATTGAATTGTACACCACAAATATGAGCAACTAATTGTCTATTTGAACTAAAAATTGTCAAAAAATAAAATCAAACAAAGAAAAAGAATGTGCTGAGAATTTTGAGAAGAGAAGTAGAAATTAATAGATATCAATCAAAAAAAGTTTAGTGATATGTTAAAAATTTAAGGATTAAGCCATGAGATTAAAATTTAAGGGTTACACTATTCTCTTGTGGCTTAAAATATTCATCACAGAATAAAACAAACAGAGTAAACTTAATATAACAAAAGCCAAGGAAAAGGAAATGTAAAATTGACAAAATAGCATGGGAATTGAAAGCTCAAAATGATCTGGTAGGAATCATACCAGGCACATCTTCATCACAATACACATGCCTAGAGTACATTCTCCCATTAAAACATCTCAGATTGAGTAAAGTGAAAAAGTAAAAAAGATCCAGGGATATCGTATTGATATGAGATGCACTTAAAAGAAAACAGCATGTGACATGTGCACATTTGACAAAATTCAACATCCTTTCAAGATAAAAAAAAATCCAGCAAACTAGGAATGGAAGGAAACAACTTCAATATAATAAAGGTCATATATGAAAAACCTACAGCTAACATCATATTCAATAGTGCAAGACTGATAACTTTTCTCATAAGAACTTTTCCCATAAGAACAAGGAAAAGATGTTCACTCTTACCAGTTCTATTCAACATAGTACTAAAAGTTCTAGCCAGAGCAATTAGTCGCGAAAAAAATAATAATAATAAGCATCCGAATTGGAAAGGAAAAAGTAACATTATTTTCATTCACAGATCTTATAGGAAAACAATAGGAAGGTACACAAAAACTTTGTTAGAGCAAATAAATGATTCAGCAAAGTTATAGGATATTAAATCAGTACACAAAAATTTGTTGTATTTCTATACACTTTACTAAAAGCACAGAGTAGGATATGGACAAGAGAGTACCAGGTTTACCCTAAAACGTAGTGTGATTTTTTTCAAACAATGTGATTTTCTACCTAGAAAATTGTACTAACAAACTATAAGGATAATTAGGACAAATTCCATTAGGTGGAGAAACATGTCTGTCTATACCAGGCCCTCCTATCAGCAATGATGAATCATAACATATAAAGAAAAATGTCATCCATAACAGCAACATTGTTTCAACACAGCTAGGAGTAATCCAAATAAAAATGTGTAGGATCTATATGGAGAAAATTATAAAGTGTAGTATCTATAAATGTATTTTAATTAAAATTTGCATAAATAGATACACTGTGTCCCTTGATGGGAAGAATAAATATTGTACAAGTGTCAGCTTTCTCAAAAATCAGTGGAGAATTTACATTCAGCATTAATTATAACCACACAGGATTTTCCCTATGAAATTGATGGGTAGATTCTTATACTCAAAGGAGAAAATGTACAAGAATAGTGAAGACAGTTATGAAAAAGGAAAGCAATGAGGTAGAAATTCTCCATGATAGATAAAAATATATAATAAATTATTATAACTGAAATAATATGTAAGAATAAACATATAGAATAGATGTTTGCTTTGAAAGAGGATAGTGTCCTGAAACTGGCCCATAAACTCAGGAATTTAATATATTAAACTAAGAGTGTGAAAATATCGATTACTCAAAAAATGCTACTGGATTGACTACACATTCGTAATACAGTAAAGGTGGATAGCTATCTTACAATACTAAAACAAATCCAGATGATTTATCCCAACAAGATTATAAATTTGAAGAAAATATTTTAAAATATATTTATAAGTGAAGAAAATATGAAAGAATATACATGTTGAGGTAGGAAAGTCATTCTTGAGACATAAATTACAAAATCTGTGAAATAAATAATTAATAAATTTGACTACATCAAACTGAAACAAAAACTTTCTCCACAATAAAAGACACTAAATGCAAACATAAAAGACAAGTTACAGCATAGTGATAACACATGTCACATCTATAACAGGCAAAAGTGTATAACGGGTAAAATAGTCCATGATCCATTAGTAAGGAAAATTCAGTGATACAGTGGTGAGAGGACTGGAGACATGGGTTAAAGAGGAGAAAATACAAAGAGCCAAGAGATGTAAAAAAAGTGTAACCTTAAGATAAAAGATACATTTT